TTTGATTAATTTTCTAACTTTGATTGGACCAATAAGATTTATGTATTTTAAGTTATTTACTTTCATTTGGAATTATGATATTGAATCATTGTAGCTTTGTGATGAGACTTTAACTTGTGAGATTGATGTATTTTAAGTTATTGATTATCTTGAATTTTTATTATTATTTCAACAAAATTAACGTTAAATAAAAGTTCAAAATTAAAATTGAATTTTTATTTTTAATATTTCAATGACATTAAAATATAAATTTAAAATTATTTGTAATATATTTTTTTTAATTTCTTAAAAATTTTATAAATATCCATGGATATCCGTGGATATCCGTGGGTATTCAAGAAATTCATGGATACCCGCTTAATGGATACCTGCACGGATATGGGGTGGGTATGAGACCAATTTTCATTCAGCGGGGCGAGGGAGGGTTTACTATTACCCGCCCCCATGGGGCCCCATTGCCATCCCTAATGACACCATTCCAACATGTCCAATGCTATCAAGACAGGGGCTTGTTATGTTATCCATGCTTGACATTGATACACCTGTGTCTGACGTGGATGAGGTAGAGAGCCTCTGAGTCTTTCACGACTAATGTGACAAAACTACACGTCTGATGACTTCAATCAGCCACAGAGCCTATACTTGAGTCATGTCCAATGTCACTCCATTGACACTCGACACCAACTCAAGTAGAGACGATGCTCTCTTTTCATGCATGGTGTCATTCAAATTCACCCCTACCGTGTCCAAGTTAGAGACAATTCTCTCTCCCTTACACTCGGTGTCACCAATCTTTCGCCCAAAGTCATCAAAGTTGAGAAACCCTAACTTGAGTCATGCCTAACATGATTATGAATTCTACACTTTGTAAAAGCTCATTTTGGGTTAAATCCACCTAAAACTCAAAGACACCAACATGCAACATAATGTACAACATATAAACAATATGTAAAACTCATTCCCATTATTAGAAATAACATTCATCCATTCCAAATCAAGAATCATCATTTTCTTTCAAGAAATGTAACACATGCAAAAAAACTTAATAACTCAAATCTCCTTTCATGATTATGTTCAATCAACAATCCGTAAAAGGAAATCTACACAAAATCAATAACAACAACCTAACATCTAACAATCATCAAACTTTTTTTATCTCTAGTTGATCACTTGAGAAGAGATGAGGAAGGAGAAAAGAGTTTCACGCAACTTCGACTTGAGATTTCAATCTTCGAAAGTTTGAATCTCCAACTCAATAAAGTGGATCAACTATAGGAAAGTAAGAAGGAAATAATTTCAGTATTGAAAGATGGAGAAGAAAGTTTAAGTTCCAAAGAACTTTTCTCTAGATTTTCTTAAAACATAAACTTATTAAATTTACATCTTAAAAAAAACTTAATACATTTCCTTAAGTTAAACCAAATTAATTCTAATTCAACTATCTTAAAGACAACTTAACTGTCAGGGTCCCAAAATTTTCATAACTCCAAACAACATCAATAACAACACAACAAAAATTTAATCATATTCACATATAATTAAATTTAAAACACCTAAAACACACTCCAATTTTTAATAACACTATAAATTTTAAACGAAAATATATTATATAAACTTCATTTATTTATATATTGTTACTTGTAATGATTGAGTACTATTTAGTGCATTTTAAAAACAAAACAAAACAAATAAAAAAAATAAAGATATTGCATTTCTCTTATTAAAGCATAAAATGAAATAAATATGATTAAGTAATACTATACTGATTTCCAGTTTTAATATAAGGTTAATAAAAATATCTTAGTTTTTTTTACCTCTTTAAAAAAAAATTATTTTGTAAATATTCATGTAATTATTTTAAGATTTATAACTAAAAAATTTTCTTTTTGCGTTCTTAAAAAGTTATTTTAAAATTTTTATCTCTAAAAAAATATACAAATATAATTATTTTTAAAAATATTTTATGATTATTGAAATGAAAGAATAAAAATATTTTTGTTTTATTTGAGGTATATTTAAAATATTTAATAAATAAAATAAATTATACACGATGTGATGTATAATGTTACTTTATATTTAAATAATACAACAATAACTATGATTGGTTTGCGATGGAAGTCAATTATGGTGCGCCTTAAGATTAAAACAATATTTTATTTTAATAGAGTCCCGCATAATCACGCAACAGCCAAGATAGCGGACTGCGTGGGATTTCATTACTCTAATTCGAGAAAATTACGCTAAAGTGTAATACTAATTATTAATAAAAAAAATTAATGATTGATAATATCATTAATTTTATATTTCATTTAATAGCATTTGATCTTACTATAATTTTTAATAAATAATTATAAATATATCTTATCTTTTAAAATAATTTTTTTATTATAAAAGAACCAAATCCAATTGTATGACTTGACCTAATATTATTTCTCGTGTGACACATGAAGTTGATTTGATATTTTTAGATTCAATTTTTGTTTATATTGAAATAATATTTGATCGTAATAACATGTTTTTGTAAACATAAATTAATTCTTAATTTTTAATTCTGGGAGACCGTTCCATGTTCTTATTGATTAATGATACACACCAGACTTTGACACGTCTTTTACAATATCTCCTTAAAATAAATTATCATTTAGGTATCAAAGTTGGACATTGCCCATGAACACGATTTCAGATATCATTAGATTATTTGACTGAAATTTTCCGCCACCAGTATGCTACTACATGGACAGTCTTCATGCAGGTTTTTAAATATTATTTTTGAGTTTTATAAAAAAATAATATTATTATTTTTGTGCTGTCAATACATATTTCTTTCCTTCTATGATTATTATATTATAATGTTTATTTCTATATAACAAAAATTTATAATAAATAATTTTTTTTAATATAATATAATTTATATATTTTAATTTT